CAAATTTCGAACGTTCCATAGAGGAGAAACAATTTCACGGCAGCTTACTTTTGATCCTGCAATCTTCATTACAGACTTGATGGTCAGGGCTTTCTCCCTATTCCTTGGTGGACGAATGCGGAATCGCATGACCTGAAACGGCGTCAGTACTTTCAAAACCGAGCTTTCAGATCTAAAAAACACGAAAATTCACATGAAAGCCCAACCTCGAAGAAGCATCCATCAGGAGGACTGAGTCGGATCACCTGTTCACTCTCAAAAGCTGCTTTATCTACTGTAGAGTGGAATTCCACATCTTCAAATCGAATCCATCGTTCCGTGTACATCGGCAGGATGTCTTTTCGCCGCACAATTTCCTAAAGAGCTTTGGTAGCACGTTTTCAGATGGATACTCTCCTAACAAGCTCACCTTTCCTTGCCTTCTCCTATCGTTCAATCCAATTTCCAAGAACGGAGAGCCGCTTACAAAAGCGAGGCAGAACAGCCGCACCCTGGCTTTCTGATCCGAAAGCACCCCTTCTTTGTCGACATAGGCGGAATACTCGTCGTAGCAATGAATCTGCAATGTCTTGCTCATACTCAGCAAGATCTTCGCTTACTGACAATCCTGGGCAAATTTACCTGAACTTCGTCTTGCTTATAGACAGGTTTGGTGTCTCGTTTGGCAGGACACTTGAATAGCACGTCCTCGATAGTGGCCACAAACGACTGCAGTTCACCGTACGTGAGTGAACCGAACTTGAGCAGGACCGTACATTGGGCGGTGTGCTCTAGCGGTAGTCCGTACTTAGTGATATGACCGTCCACAAGACGAGTAATTTGTCCTGAAGTGTGTCTTGTCCTCTTTAACATATCTCATGCTGCTATATGGTTGGATTTGAGCTTGACTGCTCATGTGCAGAGTAGTGACGGGGTAGAAATGGTAGCTGGCCTAGTGAAAAGATCGAAAAGGCTTGTATTTCTGGAAGTCAAAGAGGTCCAGATCGAAAGAGAGGGATCGTTTCTTACAAAGTTATCGACGACTTTGGCGAATACTTCGGTGAAGAAGCACGAAATGGACAAAATAAGGGTATTCGCCATTTTGCGATACATCCTTTCACTC